GATGGGAGGCGGCGGCTATGGTAGTGAGAGGACATATATATGGTGGAAGGCGGCTATGGCGTCTAGGGTTTAATTTGGTGGGTGGCTAGGGTTGGTGGGGGACTAGTTTTTGGTATATATGGTTTGACGGTGGCTAGGGAGTTGTTAGTTGCTTGGGTTTGGCGGCGGCTAAAATTTGTTGGCTTCTATGGTTTGACAGCGGCTGGAAGATGTTGGGTGTTAGGGTTTGGCGACGGCTGGGAGTTGTTGGGTGATAAAGTTTGGAATAGTACACTATAGTACACCACAGAATACCATATGGTACACCACAGTTAGGGGTGGAAATCCGATCGGATCGGATCCCACCCCTTCGGAAAAATTCTGATTTTTTTCGGAAGTAAATCTTCAATTTCGATTCGGATTCTGAAAATTTCGGATCAAAGAAACTCATTCTGATTCCGATTCCGAAAATTGCGGTTGGAATATCGGAATATTTGGAATTGGCGGCGTCTTGGCGGTTTGCGGTGACTTTGTTGCTTTTCTACGACAGAGCAACGCGACGATTTAATGAGAGAGAATTCATTCCTTGCTCCGAAAAGACATCATTAGAAACATAAAAAATGGTCGTGAAAGTGTACATCTACGGATCTCGACAAGAAAATAGCACACATATGTGAAGAGAAGAGGTGAGGCGAACCAAAAAAAAAAAAAGAAAGAGAATAATACAAATACATATGTTATAAGAGGTGAGCTCCAGCCAGCAAGAAGATTTTTCGACAGAGAAAAAAAACAAATATGGTAGAGAAGAAGAGGTGGGCGGTGGAAAGAGAAAAAAAAAGTCAGAGAAGATGTTGAGCGGCGCAAGAAGAATAAGGAAGAAATTAGGGTTTTATTGAAAGTTTGTTGTATTTACTGTTTAGTCCCTAAAACTCTGAATATTCAACATTGGGACTCATCAGTTTGCTGAAGTGGGCTAGCCAACCCATTATTTTTAAAGTGAGCTTTTTAAAGCCTCACTAGAAACAATACATATAGTCATGAACAAATATTAATAATTTTCAGAATTTTCGATAAATTCGGAGCGAAATATTTTCGGATTGGATTTTGAAATTCCGAATAATTCATATACAATTCCGATTCCGATCCAATTTTTTGGAAAAAAACGGAAATTGAATTTCGGAAATGGGACTACAAAAAATCGTTCCAAAATCGGATCGGATTCGGCGAAAATCGAAAATTTTGTTCCGATTTCCACCCTTAACCACAGTACACCATAGTACACTATAGTTTTTACAATCTGCTGTATTTTACAAACGATTTTTTTTTTTTTTTTTTTGTAATTTTCAATTTAATGTTAAAAATAAGGGGGGAAAAGTTGTTTATAATAATGATAAAAATATTAGAATGAAAGAAGATAAAATAAAGATGACAAAATCTGTAAAAATAAGATAAACTAAAATACGTTAGATGAAAAAATTATGATATTAAATGCATATTAATAATTGGTAAATGAAGTTTTAATTTTCCCTCATGTAAATTTTGAATTTGTGAGTGAAGTGATTTGGAATAAATTTAATAAAGAATGTGAAACAAATGTTTAGTTGAGGTTGTCATTTAATTCTAATATGTTTTGTCACCAGATACCTATATTTTAAGGCCCCTAATCTATATTTTTTATGTCAACATTAATAATTTAACACAGTTAGTTTTATATTAAAACCTTGCAAAATGATTTCACTTTTGCCATTCAAATCATCTTTTTCCTCTTTTCTTCCTCTTTCTTCTTTGTTTGTCATCCATCTTTCTTATTTGTCACATGTTTTTTTTCCTTGGCAAGGATGTTAAATTAGAAAAAAATAATTCAGAAAATAAATTAGGTGATAAATTTTTACGAACTAGCAATTTATTCTTAGAAGGATTAATTTTCCTAATAGGTGGCTTTTGGGGTCCTCATAATTTTTCTAGGTTTAAATGCATGCATATGATAAGTAATTGGAGTGGGCGGGAGCGCCACTGTCATGGGCGGTCGAGAAAGACACAAACGACTGGATTTGTTTGATTTGTAGTACCCTGACAACAATTTTGATGAACGGTAGGATTAAGCCAACGCAGAGGATTGTATCCCAAATGCTACCCGATCGTGTGAAATAGGCGACGACGACCTGGGCCGTGGAAAGTGGCGGCGGAGACGACGGTGGTGGCTAATTAGGAAAAGAGGCGGCGTCGACATGACAGAGTTCTTCCGATCAACTTCATCCGTCTACACATAATGGAGTTTCTTCTTCTTCTCCCTTTGCCTTCGCCGAAGCCTGGAGATCGAAAATGAATTTTCTCTAATCGAAGACTATTTGTTTGTATTTAAATTTCATCAAAATCGATATATAATTGATGGTTGTTAGATGCAAATTCAACAATTCTTTTCTTTTTGGAATTTTATTGTGCTATTTTCCTTCTTTTTCTTTCCTGCTAATACATGAAGAAATAAACATACAAATGCAGCTGAATGGTAAGTTTGTCCAAACAATGCAAGAGTTGGAATGAAGGAAATAATTGAAAAAATCAACAGGTCACGTTAGCAAGGGCGGACGAGTTTTACATGTAGGGGTTGTTTTGACTCATTTAGAAGTTCATGATTTTCTTTTTTATACGTTGGCTATAGTTTAGGCAGACCAATTGAACTTTACCCTAAATTTTATTAAACAACATGCACCAAATTAAAAGGAAATGATAGGTACGTAAATGAGTCCGAGCGCAAGTAAAATTATAGGGTAATATTACTCCCTATTCACTTATTCATTTAACCGACATCCTATAAATAGATAACATTGCAAAATCCAAAATATTAAAATAGATTAGACATACTTCCTTTGAAAATGTGTTAACCATATATTATAATACCTCACTTTATTTTATCGAGCCGTCCTATCGGTATCCAAAGGCGGTCATTGGCACAATGAATATCCCTACAGCTCATGCGCGAGCGCGAGAGATCCTGCTCGGTGTAGAGAGAGAGAGAGAGAGAGAGAGAGAGAGAGAGAGAGAGAGAGAGAGAGAGAGAGAGAGAGAGAGAAAAGTGCGGACCGAGCTATTTTTTCACAAGAGGTTCAAAGTTTTTTCCCCCAAGATTGCGAAAGTGCGGACCGAGCTATTTTTTCACAAGAGGTTCAAAGTTTTTTCCCCCAAGATTGCGAGCAGCTTGCGAGACTCGTCAATGACGGAGAAGAAGACCATCGAAGATAACATAAAGCATTTCTTCTCCAATTTTCTTAGATTTCTTCACTTCTATGCTTGCTCCGCCTTGGAATTTCTCATGCATACTCCAAAGCTAGGATTATCTTTATTCATTATTTGTTTCTCCATTTTCTGCATTTGGTTCTTGTTTTTGTGAGTTTCCAAAGACAAACTTAGAAGAAATTTTTTTCACTCGAGTTGTTGCGGCAGAGCTCAAAACTAATCTTTTATTTATCTCTAATATGCTTTTCAAGTTCTACACTTCACATAGCAAAATGCTTTCACATATATACTTAGCAATAGAAATTTCTAGAATAGAAGAAGACAAATAGACATATGCTGGATACATTTGAAAGATAGATACATTTGACTGTTATTACTCCTTGATGTGTTATTCGAAGTGTCTAGTGCATTACATTCCATCACGGTTCCTTCATTTTGATTTTCACCCATGTCTTCCATAATCCTTCGCAACCATATTGCTTGAGAAGTAGCTTTGGCTGCAACAACATATTCTGCTTCGACAGAAGATTGCGCCACTGTTTTTTGTTTCTTTGAGGCCCATCTACAAATACCTGAACCAAGGGAAAAACACATAACCTGATGTGCTTTTCATATCGTCGAGGCATCCGGCCCAGTTGCTATCACAATACCCATAAAGCTTCAATGGTTCATCTGCTTTATAGTAAATGCCATAATCTCGTGTACCATGTAGATATATAAGAACTCGCTTTGCAGCTCTAAAATGAGTAGATATCTAAGAACTCGCTTTGCAGCTCTAAAATGATTCTGACTGGGCTGCTGCATAAAACGAGAGAGCAAACTTGCTGCAAACACCATATCAGGCCGAGTAGTTGTCAAGTATAATATGCTGCCGACGAGACTTCTATATATTTAACCGTCTGCATTCTTTGCCCCATCTTCTTTTTTCAGGTTTTCAGTTGCAACAAGAGGTGTTGCAACATCTTTCCAACCTTCCATTTTAAATTTCCGTGACATATTGTCAGCATACGTCTGCTTGTTGAAGACTAATTCAAAGTCTGACTAAGTATTTAGGTTAGTTAGAAGTGACCTAATATTATGTTTTGAGTTAGTCAAATAAATTCCTAATTTTTAGCTAATTAGTAGTGGTTAGTTAATAGTGGGAAAGCTCAGTTTTTTTTCTTTATAAATAAAGAAGCCTCTGTACATCTTAATTTGGTTAGTTAATAGTGGGAAAGCTCAATTTTTTTCTCTATAAATAAAGAAGCCTCTGTACATCTTTATTCATCAAATAATATACAGAGTGTGTGCTTCTGCAATTCTTCTTCTTTACCAAATATTGCTTTTTATAGAGTTTTTCTCCAATAAATTGGTATCAGAGCCATCTTGAGAGTGTGAGTAGAGAGGATAAAAATTCGTGAGTGGAGTGAAACACTTGAGAGGAAAACCTATGGCTAATAATGGCAATGCGATGGGTGCAGCACAACCTCTTATTCCCATATTCAAAGGGGAATGCTACGAGTTTTGGAGTATCCGTTTGAAGACTCTACTTAAATCTCAAGATCTTTGAGACTTGGTGGAAAAAGGGTTTACCGACCCTGACGACGAAACCAGATTGAGGGAGAACAAAAGATTCAAAAGCGTTGGTGATAATCCAACAAGCTGTCCATGATAGCGTCTTCTCGGGAATTGCAGTGGCAACCACGTCAATGCAGGCCTGGTCTATTCTGCAAAAAGAGTTCCAAGGTGACTAAAAGGTGATCGTTGTGAGATTGCAATCACTTCGTCGCGACTTTGAAACCTTAATCATGAAAAGTGGAGAATCGGTTGCTGATTGTTTGTCTAGAGCAACGACAATAGTCAGCCAAATGCGATCCTACGGAGAGAAAATTGTCGATCAAACGATCATTGAAAAGGTATTGAGAAGCTTGACCCCAAAATTCAACCACGTAGTCGCTGTGATTGAAGAATCGAAAGATTTATCAATTTATTCATTTGATGAACTAATGGGTTCATTGCAAGCACATGAGGCTAGATCAACCGTTCACATGAAAAAAAATGAAGAAAAGGCATTTCAAGTGAAAGGTCCAGCAGCAAGAAATGGCTGGAGTGAGAACTCGACATACAAGGGCCGTGGAAGAGGAGGTTTTCGTGGTCGTGGTCGAGGTAATGGAAGAGGCAGAGGTTGTTATGATGGGCAACGACAATCCAATGAACCAAGGAACAACAAGAGCAACGTCCAATGTCATCATTGCCAAAAGTTTTGGCATGTACAAGCTGATTGTTGGTACAAAGACCAACAAATCAACTTTGCGGCAGAAAATGGAGACGAAGGCAAGCTTTTTATGGCTCATTGCAAGGCTAATTCTCAGTCACGCATCGTAGACAACGGTTGTTCGAATCATATGACCGGCACCAAATCAATGTTTACGGAGCTTGACGAGAGCAAAGAATGCAGGTTGAACTAGGCAACGGCCAAGAAGTGCAAGTTGAAGGGAAAGGAACGGTGGGCATCGAAACCTCCAATGGTAACGTAAAACTCGTCCATGATGTTCAATTTATTCTTGATTTAGGATACAATTTGCTTAGTGTTGGGAAATTATTAGTTAGTGGATATTCATTATTATTTGATGACTATACATGTGTCATTAAACACAAGCAATCAGGGCAAATATTGATTAATATCAAGATGACTCCGAACAAAATGTTTCCACTTGAAGTTTCAAGCATGGAAAATTTTGCTCTTGCTACTGGCGGAAAAGATGACTCACAGTTATGGCATTTACGCTATGGGCATCTCAATATCAAGGGTCAAAAATTACTAAGTGATAAAGATATGGTTTTTGGTCTACCAAAAATCAGCTCGGTCGAACTTTGTGAAGCATGTGTCTATGGAAAACAAACTAGAAAACCGTTTCCTGTTGGAAAGGCTTGGAGAGATTCAAAGAGTCTCGAATTAATCAATGCTGACTTATGCGGTCCTATGTGTACTATTTCTTTTGGTGGTTGTCGTTATTTCTTTCTCCTCACCGATGATTATAGTCGTATGAGTTGGATTTATTTTTTGGAAAATAAGTCGGAAGCATTTCAAAAATTCAAACACTTTAAAGCTATGGTGGAGAAGCAAAGTGGATCTTTCATTAAACCACTTCGCACCGATAGAGGTAATGAGTTTTTATCTTCCGAATTTAATCATTTTTGTGAAGTAAATGGCATTCACAGGGAATTAACAACTCCTTACACTCCGGAGCAAAATGGAGTTGCCGAGCGGAAGAATAGAACGGTGGTTGAGATGGCAAGAAGCATGTTACTAGCAAAGGGGCTTTCGAATGAATTTTGGGCTGAAGCCGTAGCAACTTCGATATACATATTGAACATTTCTCCCACAAAGGCAACTCCTTTCGAAGCTTGGCATGGTAGAAAACCCTCTGTAAGTCATTTAAGAATTTTTGGTTGTATAGCTTATTCTTTGGTAAATTCTCAGTTCCGTCATAAACTAGATGAAAAATCCAAAAAATGTATTTTCATTGGTTATTGCATGGAATCCAAAGCATATAGATTATATAATCCTCTCAGTTGTAAGATTTTGATTCGAAGAGATGAGGTATTTGCTGAAAATGCAAAGTGGGATTGGCATAAAGGTGATGACAATGAGCAACCAAATATTCCTCTGCCCATGGAAATTTTTCCATATGAAAGTGAAGGGAAAATTCTTGAAAATTCTTCACCTGGTTCTTCAGTGGCATCACCCAGCTCGTCCACTCCATCATCACCGAGCCAAAACTCTTCGTCAACTCTTGAAGATTCTTCGGATGAGTCAACACCAATAAGGTATAGATGATTGGAAGATATATATATGCATCTTGTCAATTTGCTCTTATTGTTTCAGACCCTCTTACATATGAAGAAGCGGCTGCAAAAGAAGAATGGCAAAAGGCTATGAAGGAGGAATTGACGACAATAGAAAAGAACGGAACATGGGAGATGATGCACTTACCAGAAGGCTATATTCAATTGGCTTGAAATGGGTATTCAAAACGAAGTTTGCTGCGGATGGAAGCATACAAAAACACAAAGCTCGACTTGTGGCAAAAGGGTATGCACAACATTATCGTATTGATTTTGAAGAAACGGTCTCTCCGGTAGCTCATTTTGAAACCGTGAGAATTGTCTTGGCGTTGGCTGCACAACTACAATGTCCTGTGTATCAATTCGACGTTAAGTCGGCATTTTTAAATGGTGATTTGCAAGAGGAAGTTTACGTCACTCAACCGGAAGGTTTCGTCATTGCCGGAAACGAAACAAAGGTGTATAAATTGAGAAAAGCCCTGTACGGTTTGAAGCAGGCCCCTTGGGCGTGGTAGAGCAAAATTGACGGCTACTTTAAGAAAAATGGTTTTCTAAGGAGCGGAAATGAGCCTGCTGTTTATGTGAAGAAGGAAGGTAAAAATGATTTCATCATTATTTGTCTTTATGTTGATGATATCATTTATACAAGTTCTTCTAAGTCTCTTCTCGTTGAATTTAAATCGAGTATGATGCATGAATTTGAAATGTCAGGCATGGGTTATTTGCATTACTTTCTTGGTCTTGAAGTTGTACAAGAAGAAGATGGCATTTTTGTTTGTCAAAAATAATATGCCAATGATCTTCTCAAGAAGTTTGGCATGCACAATTGTAAGTCGGCAGCTACTCCTATGAACATGAATGAAAAATTCCAGCGAGATGATGGGGCAGAGAAGGTTGATGCTATAAGGTTTAGAAGCTTGGTTGGAGTGTTAATTTATTTAACTCACACTCGACCCGATATTGTTTTTTCTGTTGGTGTAATTTCCAGATTTATGCACAATCCTTCTAGGATTCATCTCGGAGCAGCGAAGCGGATCATGCGTTACATTGCTGGAACTACTGATTACGGAATTTGGTACTCCAAAGTTTCCAATTTTTGATTATGCGGCTTTTACGATAGTGACAAGGCTAGTTCATTGGATGATCGGCGAAGCATTTCGGCGAATGTTTTCACTCTTGGATCCGGAGTAATAACTTGGAGCTCAAAGAAGCAAGCAACGGTAGCACTATCCTCTTCGGAAGCTGAATATATGGCCGTGGCTTCGGCAGCATGTCAAGCTGTTTGGTTAAGGAGAATAATAGCCGAACTTCAACAAGAGCAAGATGGAGCAACAGAGCTACTTTGTGACAACAAATCTACAATCTCCATGACAAAGAATCCAAATTCCCACAGTAGAATGAAGCATATCGATCTCCGATTCCGCTTTGTTCGAAAGTTTGTTGCAAAAGAAGAGGTAAGTTTGAAGTATTGTAACACCAACGATCAATTGGCTGATGTGCTCACCAAATCCTTAGCCAAGTTTAAAGGATCATCTATTTCAAAAATTTGCTTGGTGTCAGCATCTTTGAATCAAGGGGGAGTGTTGAAGACTAATTCAAAGTCTGACTAAGTATTTAGATTAGTTAGAAGTGGCCTAATATTGTGTTTTGAGTTAGTCAAATAAATTCCTAATTTTTAGCTAATTAGTAGTGGTTCGTTAATAGTGGGAAAGCTCAGTTTTTTTTTCTCTATAAATAAAGAAGCCTCTGTACATCTTAATTCATCAAATAATATACAGAGTGTGTGCTTCTGCAATTCTTCTTTTTTACCAAATATTGCTTTTTATAGCTTTTTTCTCCAACAGTGCTGTCCAATAAAAAATCCAGTAACGAGTTGGGAAACCTCAATACCCAAAAAATAATGTCTCAGCCGTAGATCACTCATCTCTAAGTAACAATCAAGTCATTGACGTAAAGGGACACAATGAGTATGTGCATTCCTTTCTGAAGCACATAGAGTGTAGGCTCACTTTTGCTTCACTGAAATCCTTTCTTCATGATCATCTCTTCGTACCAAGCACGCGGTACTTGGTTAAGCCCGTAAAGTGTTTTTCTTAACTTGGAAACTTTATTTCTAGCTCCCTCAACATGAAAACCTTGTGGTTGCTCGACGAAAACTTCTTCCTTCAACATCCCATTTAGAAAGGCTGACTTAACGTCAAGTTGGTATATTTTCCATTCCTTTTGTGCCGTAAGTGCAAGCAAGGTACGAATTGTCTCATGGCGAGAAACTAGAGCAAAACTTTCGTGAAAGTCGATGCCGGGTTTATGGACAAACTTTGTTTTGAATATCCATTTCAAGCCGATAACATCCCTGCCTGTTGCTTTGTCAGCATGTACCCATGTTTGATTTTTCTCAATCATTGCAATTCTTCGTTCTCATAACATCTTGTTTCTCAGTTTCTTTAAAAGATTCAGGTTCTATCGTAGAGATATTGCACGACCCGTAGACTTCGCTCAAACTGCGAAACCTTTTTGGAGAGGACTCTGGAGAAGAAGAGGATAATGAAGTTTCAAAATCTGGTGTTTAAGGAGAAGCTGGTTTTTCTTGGACTCTCTAACTTCTTTACGGTTTTGAACTAAAACAACTGGCATTTCATGCACTCTTTTATTTGCCCAATCCCACAAAGCTTTTTCATTGAAAATAACATCTCGGCAAATAGTTATCTTTTTCAGTTTCAACATCATACAATCTGTAGGCTTTCGTTCATAGCTATAGCCAATAAAAATACATTTGGTGCTTTAGTTATCAAATTTTACCCTTTTCTTTTCTGGAGGTATATGAGCATAACAAATGCAACCAAAAATTTTAAAACAATTTACCGAAGGCTTCACACCGCTCCAAGCTTCAAATGGCTTTTGGTACTTCACTGCTTTAGTAGGAAAGCGATGTAGAACATAAACAGTTATGGGAACAACTTCGGCCCAGAAAATTCTTGGGCAATTATTCCTCCTTTAGCATGTTGCCATATCAACAATTGTTCTATTTTTCCTCCCCGCCACACCGTTTTACTGCGGTGTGTAGCTTGTTGTCAATTGCTTTCGAATGCCCTCATTCTTGCAATAACTCTTGAACTCATTAGAAGTGTATGTTGGGAATCGGGCACGCGTACGCAACGGAATTTTTTTATTTTTTTTATTTATATAAACTAATTTATATAAATAAACATGTGCGCATTAATCACTTTTCGCTTCCAATCACCGACAAACATGCTCGCATATATAATTAATTTAAATAACATAAAGTAAATCTTGATAGCATGCTCGCGGAATTAAATCAAATAATAAACATGCTCAACGAACGATTCACATAAACACATAACCGAATATATAGATTCATGTGATTCAATAATCAATTAACATACATTAATCTCAGTTAATATAAATGAACTAATATATATTAATTAGGGAAAACGAGCTTTTACTCTTGAAGCGTGAATCGAATGGAGACTCGAGAAGATGGCTAGCTGCTCTTTCCACTCCTACTGATCCGACCTATTTTCTAATATGAAATTCGAGGCCTGCTCCGACTTGAATATCTCCATGATTATTTACTGGATTCACAATTACTTCACGGCGA